GCTCTCAGGAAAGCTGAGTGCCTGTGACACTGCCCATGGTCCCATCCGGCGAGTGTTGCTGTGCTGCTACGGGCTCAGAGCAGCAGCATCTCCAGGGACTTCCATGATGCTGGCAGTGGGCACTGGTTCTTGAGCTGTCCTGTGGTGCGCAGATGTGAGCAGCCAGAAAGCTAAAATCTTCATGTTTTCATGCACAGAGACAGAAGCAAAATCCACTTAGTTTTTATGTTGTGAAAAAGCTCCAGAAAATTGCCAAATTGAATATTTGGGAAAGTAAAATCCAATTTTTTTACTAGCAAAAAAACCCCAAAATGGCAATGAAACCAACAATTGGGAAAATTTGGTGTGAAATATTTCCAGTTTGGGGGTGGGCATTGCAATGGATTATTCAGTGTGGGGCAGTTAGCCAGATTAGGTTGCTTCGTGTGGGTTATCGCAAATGAATTGTCTGCTGAGCATTATGGCGGGTGGATCTGTTGTACGCCGTTTCCCCGTGTTTCCCGTGCATCTCCCGCCTCCGTCCGTCCTTTCCCCGTCCTGGGCTGTGACCTCCCGCCCGGCCCCGCCGAGCCGCGCTCACGGGCGCCACCGTCCGGCCAGTTGCTGCTCCTGCAGCCAAGAAAGCCGCGAACGCGCGTTGGCCGAGGGAGCGGGGAGTTGCTGTTCTCTCCTTGCTGCCACCCCCTGGCCGTAAGGACGAACTGCAGGTGAGCCGCTAAACCGCCGCTGCCGCCCGGCGTTTGAGCGCCCCTCGGGGCTGCTCGGTGAGCTCGGGAGCGGCGTGGCTGAGCACTGGGCTCGGGGCCCGGCGGTGGAAGCGGTGAGGTGGCAGAGAGCCTCAGTGGATGCGGAAGAACCGCCTCGGGCCGCCCGGGATTGCGTGGAAGAAGCTGCAGCCCGGGCAGCGGCGGCCACATCCCCGGGCAGGAGCTGGGCGCCTCTCCCTGTCGCCGGAGCTCCCCTGAACCTCCACCGACCCTGTTCGCCCTGTGCCGCTGCCCCAGCTTCAGCATCACCCCTGAAACCTGCTGTGTCCACTGGCCGCCCCCAGCCTTGTTGGTTGGCCGTCGAGGTCTCCCCAGAAGCCCTTGCAGGAGGAGGGATATGTGCAGGTGATCTACAAGTAATAGCAGTCGCTGATGCTTCTTTCCCTCTGCCAGAGGCCAAACTGAACATCTAAATGTCTATTCTTACTCAAAGCATCCCCGGGCGATGTCAGTGACTACACCCGCCTGGGGCTTGAGTGGGTCATTAGTGTCCCCTGAAACTGCGTGGGAAAAAAAACCCAACAAAACAACAAACCAACTCTCCAGCGTTTTTAGTGTTAGATAATCAAGGAATTATTTTATTCTGGCCAGGATGTGCAACAGAAATCATTTCATCCACACATTGCCCGGGTCGTGCAGAAAAAAACATTCAATGCCGCAGTTCTTTACTAGATTTTTCACATATTTTATACAGTCAAAACCCACAGGAATTCATTGGCTCAATGTTCATTATTCTCAAGTCGCTCAGTTCTTAGTATCTGGTTTCCTGTTGGATACGGATTTCTTTGCCTTCAATGCTAATTAGGTAGGTTCTCATTCTTATATCTGTTTTCCCAGACCAGGCGTCTCTGACCATGCCAGTGGTGATGTCTGGAGTTGATGGTCATTAATGGTCATTTTCTTTTGCTATCTTCTGTGCTACTCCCAGTTCCTCAAGTTGTTAAGCTCATCACACCTCACCTGGTGAACCAGTCCCCTGAAAAGAAACTTCAGTTCCCTTCCCCCAGGGCAAACTAAACTGACTAAAGTTACATTATAAAAAAAATTAAACTCTATATATAAATTTCTAACGTTAGTACCGGCCTTGCTCCCTCCAGGACATGGGCTGAAGCGGGACAGAACGAGCACTTACTGGCTCGGAGAGGACCTGCTGTGGCAGAGACTGGAGAGGCCATAAAAAAGGCAAGGAAATAAAAATTGGAGGTCATCTGGCTGGTCTCTCTGCAGGCAAGTGAAAGCCTGTCTCTCTGGGTAAGAAAGGGAAAGATGTATCCGAGCTGGTAAATTTTCCCAGCAGTGCCAAGAATCAGAGCTGAGGTGAGCCCAAGGTCTCTTGCGCCCTGTCTCCCCTCTTGTGTGTCTCAGGACCTCTTTGGTTCTCTCCTGCCCCCCTTTTTTTAACATATTTCTCTGACTACTTAATTTTGCTTACCTATATCTCTCCTTTTCTCTCTATTATGTCTTTCTACCACACTCCCTCTACTTTCTCTCTCTGTGCTTCTGTCCCACACCAGTTCCCTCTCCTTTTTTCATCCTCTCTCTTCTACAGCTTACAGCTGTGTTTTCCTTCTCCATTGATTTGTTCTGAGTTGAATCTGCCTCTTTTCCCCTCACAATTTATCTGGCCTGTTCTTTGACATTTTTTTCCACTGTGTACTGCAGTGTGTCCCTGTCTTCCTATTTGTTTTCCTCCTTCCTTTTGTTTCTCTCCCTATCCTTTTGTTTTGCTAAATGTTGCTGGTTTTTTTTCAGTTCTGGATCTCACTTTCCCTTTCCACTTTCCTGTTCATTTATTACTCTCTCTGATCCTTTTGCTATTTCCCGACCCTGATATTTATTACTTCACCCCATCTGGCCCTCTTTTTTTTCTTCTTCCTATCTCTGTTATTCTCTGTTCTCATTGTCTCTCAGCATCCTGCTCCCTGTCCTTCTTCCGTTCACAGTATCCCACTTTCTCACTCCTTGTCCCTCACCTGGTTTCTATATCAGTCTGTCCTTCCTCCTGGTTTTTATTGTTGCTCTGGCCTGATGCCTGTTGCTTTTTTTTTTTTTTTTTTTCCCTGTCCCCATTGCTCTGCTTCAGTCCTGTCATTCTCCTGCTCTCTCTTTCTTGATGTTCATAAACGTAGAGACAGATTGGTTTGTGGAGAAGTAATTTTACAATAGTTGCAGATTATTTTGAAGTGAGTTTCCTTAGTGACTGCTAAGGAATTGACATGAGCCATGAGTTGAAATACGCTCCGTGTCTGTATTCCCTGAAGAGGGAATGCTGTAAGGAATTTGTCTGCTAGTAGAGATTAGGGTTTGCTGGTCTGAGCCCTCCTTTGAAAATGTTTGTTGTGCCTTGAGATGCAGAAGTATTAGACTTCCAAAGCCATCTGAAGAGAATGAAGACTTGCATAAAATTTTTACTGGCATTTCATTTTCTTTTGAGGGAAATTTGGTACTTGTTTATGGATATTATTGCAATAACAGTGGTCTGTGTGAAAATAATCACAGTATTGTGAAGTG